GAACGAAGTCACGACTTTCATTCAAAGCCTCATTTATTTCATTAGTTGCTGGCTGGGGCGGTAGTTGACTTAACAGTGACATAACAGCACCCAGGCACACCTCTGTAGATATGCAGAGGCCCAGAGGAGAGGAGATAAAAGGTTAGGCAAAATGTCAGTGACAGGTGCACACCCTTCAGAAAAGTCCTTGTGAATCTAAGAGGAGCCGGCACATATGGTATTGCACTGTGGTCTAGAAGGACCTGCCCAAGTAACCTGGTGTGGTGCAGTGGCTTCCAAATTAGACTTTCCTCAATGCAAAGATATCCGCGAGGATCCTCCAGATTGTTCCTGGAAGAGGAGAGAACCTAAACAATTGAGTCTTCCCCTTCCCATCCCATCTACTCTCCTCTGATTCAACTAAGCATCACTGCTATTCTCTAGTTTTACTTATTTACCCCCATCAAAAGGAGATAGAGATAGAGATCAAATAAAAATAGAAATAGGAGAGAGAGAGAGAGAGAGAGAGAGAAACTGCCAGTCATCAAATGAATATTAACTTTAGAATCAGTCTGCCTCGGTTTTTATTTTCTTGTATTCTCAGTGATAAGAGTCCTCCAGTATGGTGGTAATATATGTAGTAACATTCTTATTATTAGGTGACTTGAGCGTGGTCTTTAATCACTCTGAGCTTCAGTTTTCTCAACTTTCTCAACTTACCTGCTTAAAGGTGCTCAAAGACTTCTGTTGAAAAAATAAGTGAATGAGGGAAAAAAATCAATCAATAAATAATTTTATATTTGGGCAAAAATCCCCTTGTAGTGTTTTAGTGAAGATTCACACTAATACAGAAAATAGTTTAATAGAGCCTGGTACATAATAGGTATGTTACAAATAATGGCAATAGCTGCTATTGTTGCTAGTTCAGTGCTTCTTAGATTGATGTACAGGTGCCCATGTGGCACATCCTCTCTAAGTGAGACAGAAAGACTCCATTAAACTGTAGAGCAGGGATTATGTGCTATTAACTATTTGGAACATGCCTAAGTCAAATGGGCTTTTTCATCACAAGGAAAAACTAAGGACGTTTCAGAAGCTTCTTGGTTCCCCACTTTTGGGAGTGCAGCTTGGAAAGGTTAGTGGCAAAAATAGTGTTATTGGAAGAAGCCTGCCACTGAGCCAGAAGTGTCAAAATCCTATGGCCATTCCGTGTTGCCCGAGAGGCATGCATATCTCACATCACGGATCTTCCTTGGGCCTGAACCATACTACTCAGTGACCTTAAAGCCCATGTATTGGGCAATTTGTTCTCTGGGTAAGAACAAATTATGAACCTACATACAGCCTATTTTTGAAAGAAAAAGGGAAAAAATGTACTGGGCTTATAACCTGAAAATTGATGTCTTCAATCTACTTAAATTATTTTAGTTAAATACTATTTTCTAATGAATCATATTCATCTGTGGTAGATTGTAGAAGTTCCCCAGGTTAAGACTTGTCTTTTCATGGGTTGTATAAAATGGTTCAGACACATTTAGCGCTCCTGATATAACAAATAGCTATCATTTGTAACAAAGGAATAACAATGGCAGTCTCTTGACGTGTCCCAGAAGTATGGTGTGCAAGAGGAATCCTTTTACGTACATATTGTAATCCCCTTACAACATATTATAATGCTGTGTTCCCCACGGGAAAACCCAAGAGCTCATTTCTCCAAATCTGTAATAGAAAACAGACCACTGAGAGTTAATTCTAATCATGTAAAGATTCTTGGCCTTTACAAGATGGCTTTTCAATTTTAATTAATTAATTTATTTATTAAAGAGTGTCTTTAATCGCCAGATTTTTTTAAGTATTAAAAATTGGATTTGCCTTGTAAAATGTTGATTACTCTCAACTTTTCAGGAGCAAAGAGCGAGCAAAAATGGGGCATTGACCATCAGCTGTCAATGGTAGTCTCAGTATTCAGAGTCAGGATAAAAGGGCTCATCATTCCATCTCCTGAACCCACCAAAGTCAGAATGTCCAAATGTGGCAGGTGGCTCTTACAGGCACCATATACCTTTATTCTGGGCTGTTATCCGCCGTCGGTAACTGTGAGTCTAACAGCTAAGGGCTTCCATCCATCTTCCGGAGCAATCATGTGTTATTCAGCATGGACTGAACTATTAGCTTATATGTGTATAGGGATACTTTTTAAAATTGAGACAATTATGAAGATAAAGCTGGTGACTTATTCAAATACGTAAAAACAGAATTTGGGAGAGAGATGATGTATTTCTTCTGCCATCTGTAAGTCATGGACAAGGAGAGGAAAATAATTTGGAGTAGGGCTAGAGAGGGACACCTAGATTTAGAAGAGCTGCCTCCCCTAGATTGCAGACAGATAAAGTTATTCTCCAATGTCAAGTCCTCTTTGTTTTTAAATGCAAGAAACACATGCAGCCGAGCACCCTGGCAATGTCCAGTCCCGCGAGGATGGCACTGTGCAGGCGTGATACTAGACTGAACGATGGGGAGCAAACCAGATGGGGAGGGGAGACTAACCCCTTTAGCACGGCCCCCGAGGGCCTTCTAGACCACACAATGACTTTAGGACCGTTTCTCAGCTGGCATCTCCAAGAGAAAAATGAGCATACTCCACTTCAAAGTTGACTACTGTGCCCAAACGCACTGCTCATGTTTTTCCAAGATTCCTAAACCAATAGTTGACTAGTCTGCTCGGATTTGGGGAGGCTGTTGGAAACCCTTCAGGAAGTTCCATCCAGTGTGCTGAAAGCCTGTACTCAGTACTACAGCAAAGGCACGGGGCAGTTGAATGAGAATCAGGACCCACCAAGGGGTCCTTGGGGAGAGGCGCGGCGCCCAGAGTTCCCACAGGACACTCATTTCTGGGCTGCGAGGGGTTGCGTCTTCCTGCCCTGTAAGCCTCCGTGCGCTTTGCGTGTAAGTGTCTTTGGATTATTACAATAGAAAGGGTGTTTCATACGCAGAGTGGGTCTCAGGCCTGGAGGTGAATGTGTGAAGGTGGTGAGTCAGGCGGTGTGAGAACTAAGTTGGAGACTGGGGTGGGGGGGCAGAAGGTGGTTACTGTGCATCGATGACTCCTGCTCAGGTTTCAGTTTGGGGTTCTGTCACACTTGAGAAATGTCCCTGTCGTTTCTCTAATACGCAGTTTATGTTCCGAACAAGGGGCAGTGCAGACAGAATTTGGGGGTGGGGGTCCCTCATCGGCCACCAGGGAGAAAGTCTGATGGGCGCCCCCAGGGCAGGCGGTTCGCTATGGTGTATAAATGTGATCATGGGACCATTTCGGGGAGGTTGAGGGTGAGAAACCTGATAGCTGGAGAGCGAAGCTGCGACTCTTCCCAGGCGGGGTGTGGAAGGTGGGTCGCTCTCAGGCTGGGGGTGGGGCAGGAGAAGGGCAAAGGAACCCGGAGGTATGTGTCAGAGGCTCGCCATGCCTGGACAAAGTGTCGGGGTACGAGGGTGGGTGGGGGCCTGAGGGGTGGCTTGGAGCCCTGGCGGTGGCTGCCTGACGTCACCGGCCTTTCTGGCAATAGGCTGCGAGCTGAGCTCCCTGAAGCGGTGGCGAAGGCGGCGGCGGCAGCGGCACCGAGGCTCGGTCTCTGGCCCATTCACTCCGCGCCTTCTGCAGCCGCCACTGCAGCCGCGCAGCGGGGGCTCCCTCCCTGCAGCCAGCTGGCAGTCCCAGGTAAGGGACGCGGTGCAACAAAGGCTTGAGATGGCTGGGTGGCCCGGTGGCAGGGTGAGAGGGGAAAGCAGCTCATGCGGCCTGCGCAGGTACCCTGGGCGAGAGCTTCTGCCCCCACCCCCGCCGCTGCCCCTGCCCCGGCTCGGCTGGCTGGAGCGCTACCTCGCTGCTCCGCAGTGCAACAGTTTGCAGCCGCCTCTTGGGAGCCCCAAAAAGGCTCCGCTGCACCTTGCAGGTCTATCCAGTTCTGGGCACGGAAAAAAGCCTCGGGGCCCTTGGGCTGGGTCTAGGAAGGCCAGAGAGCAGGTCCATTCCCCAAACTTTGCAGGCTGAAACCCTCCCCGCTCAGGTTCTAGCTCCTCCAGAGAGAAGGGAGATACTGTTAAGTTGGGGGCACAGGGAGATGGAGAGGAGGAGTACGTTTGCAGGGACGTGTCAGCAGGGAAGGGCGCTTCGGCTGCTTTATGGGGGTGGGAGTGTAAGGAAAGAAGGCTGGAGAAAGGATGGGGTGTGAACCTGCGCGTAGCCGCGGACCGAGGCAGAATGGCATGTGGAGTGGGGGATCCCTGGGGAATGGGACCCGAGGGTTCTGACTCCTTCTGGGGAGAACGAGGATGGGGGTAGGGAGAGAGGACTGAGTGCCGGAGCCCCGTTGGCGGCCCGGAGTGGGTGTTGGGGAGGGCAGGATCCAAGCAAAGACATCCGCGGAAAGGGCGCAGGAAAGAGAGTCGGCGCTTTGGGAAGCAGAGACTGAGATCCAGGGTGGCTGTGTGTCTGTGGCAATTACAAAGTTGTGAAGGGCGCGGGGAGGCCGCCTTATCTGCTGAGTAATCTGCGGCTCCTGGTGCAGGCGCAGACCCCATCCCGGCGGGCGGCGAGAGCAGACAGCTGGCCGCTCTGGTGCGCGGCCAGGGGCGGGCGTGCTGGATTCCGCGGACTGAGGACAAGGACAGCGCCCAGCCGAGGCAGTGTGCCCAGAGAGCCGCTTTGCGGTGGTGGCTGATCCTTCAGGATCTCGGCTTTCCCCTGAGCGGCGGCCGGGACCCTAACTAAGCCTGTTCTCTTTGCAGCCTGGTGCCTCGGGGAGGACAGGGGAGCGCGGAATCGTGTTTGAGGAGGGACACGAGAGGACCTGCGGGAGCCGCTCGCTCCCCGGCCGGCTTGTTCACCAGCTCTTTCATCCTTCTTTGAGCGCGCACCTCCTCCCGCGCCAGCGAGCAGTTTGCGGTGTCGTGGGGTCCGTCCTCCTCTTGGCTGGTGGGAACGGTGCTCCCCAAAGGGCCAGGTCCCTCCCAGCCCAGTGCCGATGAGTGCCCGGGCGCCCAAGGAGCTGAGGCTGGCGCTGCCGCCGTGTCTCCTGAACCGGACCTTCGCTTCGCCCAACGCCAGCGGCGGCGGCCACGCGGGTACCCGCGGCCCGGGAGCGGGCGGTGGCGGCGGCGGCACCTGCATCACGCAGGTGGGACACCAGCTCTTTCAGTCCTTCTCCTCCACGCTGGTGCTGATTGTCTTGGTGACCCTCATCTTCTGCCTCATCGTGCTGTCCCTGTCCACCTTCCACCTCCATAAGCGCAGGATGAAGAAGCGGAAGATGCAGAGGGCTCAGGAGGAATACGAGCGGGATCACTGCGGAGGCGGCCGCGGCGGCGGGGGGCTGCCCCGGGCGGGCAGGCAGGCTCCGGCCCCTGCGAAGGAAACCCGGCTGGAGAGGCAGCCTCGGGACTCTGCCTTTAGCGCCCCCTCCGATGCCTCGTCGTCGTCCTCCTCTTCATCCCCTGGCCTTCCCTGCCAGGGTCCCTGTGCTCCTGCGCCTCCGCCGCCAGCCTCCAGTCCGCAGGGAGCACGCGCGGCCTCCTCCTGTTTGGACACAGCTGGCGAGGGCCTGTTGCAGACGGTGGTACTGTCCTGACTGTCTCCCCTCCTCTCCTCCCCTGGTTTCCAGCCTCTTTGCCATCCTTGCTTTCCCCCCCTTCGTCCTCTTTCCGTTTTCCTCTGGCCCCTCTTTCCTCGAACCCGCCCTCCCTGACTCTCTTTCTCCTCCGCCGAGGCACTGTGCGGTATTTGTAAATATTGGGCGAGGAAAGTCTCGGAAGAAGAACTAACGCCGATAATACTTTATTAATATTTACAGTAATTATTATAATACTAATAACACAATCCAAGCGCATGACAAATCACATAATTTCTCATTGTCGACGAAGGATGCATCTTCCCACACCTCTCTGCGCTCCCCTCAGTAAGGAGGAGGAACCAAACGAGCTACCAAATATATCAAAGGCATTGACCCCGGAGCCAAGGGAGAGGAGGGCCCGGTCCTGTACATAGCTGTCGAGTTAAGGTTTCGTTCCCTCCCCTCCCCCCTGTCCCCTAAGCTTCCACTTTTCCTTTAGCGACCCTCCCTCCCCATCCTCACCCTCAGCCGGGCTCAGGCAATAGTATATTATAAAGAAAAAGTCTACATTAAGCACCAGGGCTACGAGAGGCCACAGAGAAAGTCCCAGAAAAGCGTTTACGATAGGTGCCCCTCTCCAGTCAGCCCTGTCCTCAGCCCTTGGTTAGCTATTACGTTTTCCAAAACTGTCCACTTACTTTGCTTTTTAAACGTGTCCCTCGCTGGCCGAGCATAAGTACATTACAATCTTTGAACGAGTTCAACGACAGCAGCAACGACAACAAATCTAGCGCTTTCACTCCCCGCCCCGCCCCCACCAGTGCTCTTTGGACTTGGGACGTTTCCGAATTTACAGAGGACCCGTGAGCTGTCCAGCCAGGTCTGGTGCTGAAATCACCTCACTGTACTGGTTATTCCTCTGGTCGTGCAGGCGGAGGAGGGGCTGTTTTGGAAAGTGACTATTCTGGCTTTTGGTTGGTTGGTTTCTTCTTTTTATACAATCGGGTTATTGTGTACTGTTAGTTTTCTTCTTATTAAACATTGCATAAGTTACCTTTTGTAAAAAACAAAAAAGTATTAGGCGACGTGCAATTCTGAAAGTGCAGTATCTAACCACCGAGAATGTTTCTGTTTCGTTTTTAGAACGAGTGCACCTTTGTCATCTATTTATTCTATGGGTCCCAAATACAGAAGAAAATTATAGTTCTGTACTACATCCTCCAAACTGTATATTCATGTTCTTAATTTCCAGCTGTTGATAAAATGGTTACCACTTCCGTGGTACAGACCTGGCTTCTCTTGTTTCCAGAAGTATTCTTCTGTAGCTTCCTCTGTAGCAGACTGTTACAAAAAGACGACACACATGTTTTCTTTTTTTCTTTTGCGAGTGACAGTAACAACCATCTCAACAGAAACGAATAATGGATGTGCAGGAATGCCATCTATTAAAACATGGTTCCTAGTTCAGCAGTGCCTGTTGTTCTCCCGGCATGCTGTTCCCACCTGGAGGCAGCGGTGTGTGTGCTGGCTTGTACTGGATGTGTTTCAGGATTTGACTGGTGGGGATGTTGGGCAATTTGGATGACAGGACATGCAAATTTCAAGAGACGTTAAATCGAGCAATTACTTATAGGACAAAAATATTTGGAGCTTGTTTAGTTAAAAAAAGAAATCTGTGCCTGCAGCTGAGGAAGGGCTCTCTTTTTCTTTTTGAGTCTGGCTTAGCTAATTTCACTGAATATATGAAAATACTGAGGTAAGAAGAAAGTGAGAGAGGGGAAGAGAAATAGTTTGCTCCCTCTGTGAACGCTAGCAGGGCTCTCTGTTAGAAGTGGAGCTTGCCTGTGGCTTTTTACCACTTTATTTCCTTTGGAAGATGATAGAAGGGGCAGAAGCATACTGCAATATTAATTATATGCAGTGCTATCTCTTCTTGGAAACCAAGTTTTTGACAGCTATTCAAGTGTTTAGAAAGTGCATGAATGAGAATGATCTACAAAAAGCTTAACAAAAGAGTCCTTACTATCCTGCAGGGTGTAAGGAAGCAGTGCCCCTACAAGCATCCCTCTCCCAGGTAACCAGTTTTTCTAGATTCTGTGTCTTGGTTCCAGGCATATGTGCTCTTATCTGGAGAAAATATTACCTCTTAAGGTTTTGGTCGTTTGTTAAATTGCCCAAGCTCAGTTTTCATCTTTTAGAAAAATAATTTAATACACTTATTTTTAATCACCCGTTAGATATTCACTCAAGTCCTTTCCTGAAGCACAGAGGATCATCGTGGAAGCACGCCATGTTGTAATATTAGGAAGACCAGGTAGAAATCTTTGGGTACAACATATTAAACAATGAACCAGATTCTCTCCAGTGCCTTAGTCACTTCCTAGTAATAAGTAAAAGAGTGCATTACCTCCCTCAGGCCACTAGCGAATCCTTTAGTGTATCAGAGCTCTACATGGTACATCAGAATGACTAAGGCACTGTGAAGAAGAAAGTCCGTTAATTTTCGTAGCTCACCCTCATCCAGCAGTAGCTCTTTAATACCTTATTAGAGAAGGACTTTTGGACTTGAAAATTTGCATAGAATCAGGGACCCAGAAGGGAGCTTGCTCATTGACAATGAGCTCCATTAAGTACATGGATATTACTTTCTCCCCTTATTTGGTGCACTTTTTACAGTGAATAATTTCCCATTTTATTAAAGCAATAAGACGTTCTGTTGTGAGCAGTGCTGGACGGTGATTCCATTTTCTTGGTGCTGAAGCTACTCATACGTTCTTGCCTTATGAATCATAGTACATTCAAGGCATGCAATAATAATCCCCTTCCAAGAAGCAGCCTGTATACTCTGGGGGGTAATTATAAAACTGTCCTATATTATTTTTCCCCAAAGGAATAGAGGGAGCAAAAGAAATAAAAGTATTATATATGTTATTTTAAAAAGATCTTGATATCTCTAAACGTGGGAACACACCGGTAATATACTTTTAATGTGCACCTTGGAATGTGTATGTCTCTCGCCACTAATTGACTCTGGTTTATTATTTTGATTAGTGTGCTGTGTAAAGATGATGCCGTTTGTGAGTCAAATTTAATACTGAGCTTAATATATTCGGAACCCTAAGCTCTGGCAGTGTCACTTGAGGTTTTTTTATGAGCTAGGAAGAGAATTACGTGAAATTCTAGTAATCCAGGCCCCACCCCAAATTATTGCAAAAAGCACATATCAAAGCAATTTGTACAGACCCTGTTTAAAGCACTACTTCTTACAGAGCTCAATTGGCAGTCTCAGGAGTTTGGGATGCTACCAACAGGGCATTTTGGTTTTCATTTATGTGAAACAAAAGGCAATCTGGAAATAGCTAAATTTATTTTAAGGATTTTATTCACTGATGTCCCGTCAAACTAATTGCTTCAAACCCCTATAGCTACAGTTCAACTTCTGCACTTGCTATTTGGTATTATAATAAGGTGGCATGCTTGATTCTTAATTGTTTTTAAAAACGAGAAAATTGGAGAGAAAATGCTATTATGTCAAATGTATGGGACTATGAATCTCAAAGATGTAGAAGGATATAATATTTAGACTTTATATACACTCATAGATATGTATTTATATACACATACATTTTGTACAAATTTACAATGGACTTTTTGTATTCTCTTTTCTGTCATTACAAGAATGAGATGGAAACCAAATAGTTGTTCCACCCTCTTATCCAAAGAGGATACTAGGAGTCAGGTATGTGCATGCACTTCTTTCTCTGGGGTCAAATTTGAACAACTTTCTCTTTATTTGATGAAAGGGGAGAGTCCTAGTTAGCTCTGAAAACTGGTAAATTAGATAAGCTTCCTTTCCTAGGTTAATGACTCAAATGTAGCAATGATACTAAAGTTGTGACTGTTTCTATATGGTCTAGCTATCTAGATGGAAAACACACATATCCAGAAGAGGTTTAGGGCCATGTAGACCAAAAACCTGGATTGTGGTTTGATTTTTTGTTTTCAACCTATATGTTGTGTAGAGATACAACTTATATTTACATAGCTAAAGGTAAAGTGAAAATATGACCATTATCTCTTTAGTTTGATAAGTAGTTTTTGGAACATATGGATAAATTTTCTTCAAAAAACTTCTTTGGGATCTGACTTTTCCACCATTTCTATCTGCATCAATTGAATTAATTGGATAATGGTTAAAATTTTATTTTTTCTATTGTGTAGACATATGCTTTAAATGCTTTTTTGTGGGTGACAGTTAAGCAATTGCTAGCTGATAATATGCGGAAATTATAAGTTAAATCAGAATCTGAAACTTTAATCTGACCAGGCTCCTTAGGCCCATTCCCACATGAATCTGGACTTTGAACTTGAATCTGAAAAGCCACTTATTGGGGCCATTCTTTTTTGGAACTAGTGATTATAGCTCACAGATGTTTCAGTTCATATTAGAATAAATTGCCCTATCTATAGAAGAGTATTTAATCATTGGACTGAATGCAAATCTGATTCTGATCTGGTTTTCATTTACTTGGTAACATTTAAGAAACCGCTTATATGGCTTGATATCAATACTTATTATTGTCACCAACCTAATAATACAATTGGTGCCACGTAGGAATGCTTAGCTGAGAATAAGAATTTAATTACCTTTACATGGAGACAATAACTCACCAAGGTGGTCGTACCCATTTGAGGAAGGGATATTTCCCTGACACTTATGATTACATTGGGTTGTTCCTAAAGAGAGAATAATAGCAACAACAGTGACAACAATGACAGCAACAACAACAGAAAAACTGACTTTTGAACTTCAGAATATCCAGCAGATGGAATAAAACAGCTATTAGAATTCATGGAAATTTGTTTTGCTTTTCTATCAATAAAAGAGTTTTCTTGTTAATTGGTCTTTTGGACACTATTTCCTTATTAACTTAATTTATAACAGCAGGATTATAAAATTACTCCAGTCTATTACCCACAGATGCTCACAAAATTATAGTTTTTTAAAAAAATTATAC